TCATATCAACTGATCAAACCAAAGATTATATTGAAAATAACAGCATAGTTGAATTGTGCACAAACATACGCATATGTAGCCCAGTTGTAGGTAATTATATGTAAAGACTGAATGAGCTAGGACTCGGTATCAAACACGGGAATCAATAGTACGTTAACGGCGGCGAGGTTTCAAATTATGAAGTACTTGGGGGTACATCACACATGACAAAGTGGGTTTCTATTGTATGATTGTTGCATGCTTGTTTCGTTGTAAAACAGGATAAAGGTTTGGTTCCTCTTTTGTTGCGGTCAATAAACGCTCTAGTAATTATGTGTGTACGAATAGTCGCATACTAGTACACCCTAGATTAAAGCGGGGGATTCGTCACCTGCGGCATGCGTCAGATGACCATAGCGTGTCATTGTTTACAAACAAGCGTCCACCCATGAGCCTTTGCGTTTTTAGCGTGTGTTGTTATCGTCGCTTGGGACTCAATTCCCGCGCGTGCGCAGGTGACGATCCTCCCGCTTTAATATTAAAAATGTTCATTGTAGGCTACGTGGGACAAAAACGAGCTGTTTTCAGGTGCTGAGAATACATGTATAGATTATGAAGTCAAGTCAATTAATGGCGGACCAGCGCCATTTTGGACTGCAGAAGCTAGATATAGAACTAGAATATTAAAGGTATTAATATGTTTGTCACTTTGTTTGAAAATGAAAACAAGTATTCCCAAACTGCTGAATAATTTAGTACAATATAGTGATGTAATAAAAAAACGAGTTGCCATGGCTTTCACGAACTAATATACGGAACCCAGCATTAACAACTTTAAGTTGTAGTGTATGATGATATTCCAATATCGGTTATTAACCTTTTCACCACCGGTTCCCTCTTTTCATCCCAAATTCACAAAATAATCCCGTTTATAGTCTGTACTTTCATTTAGAAAATTGGGAAAAAATAGCTAATTTGTTTGCGTAAAAACTGAAAATTGAATCAAATTTTGTCTGGTGGCTCCAATATTAGAGTTCATTTTCAGAAATATTGAAGAATATAAGAGAACAGTGCAAAAAAAATTTGGGAGAGAAAGTCTGGTGGTGAAAAGGTTAACATATAACATTTGTTATACTAGAAACGATATTTGAATTGTATAGTATCGTTGAATTATACCTAATACAGTGTAATGTTTTCTTCTTTATAAACTGGAAAGTAGTCTACGTGGAAATATTTGTTCATTCGTGTTCAATGCGACGTTGTCAGTATGTCGGGATAATGTATGTGGTTCTTTTCTTCCAGGGCGGTTCGCTTCCAGGTCAATTGACAGCTAAGGGAATGCGACAATTATACGAACTGGGATTACAACTAAGAAAGGAATATATACAAGAAAGAGGATTTCTATCCCATACTTATTGCCCATCTGAAGTATAGTAAGTTACTGCGAATGGAGGCTGGTGAATTCTCACATGAAATGCGGCAAAGTTTAACTTTTGTTTCAAACGAGTACCGGTTTAATATTACTTGCAGTCCATTTATTCACAAGTGATCAATCAAATATTCACGGGCTAACAATGAACAAAACACGATATTATTGTATTATTATTTGTGTTCTGCATATTGTCTCAGACCATATAATGTAATAAACAATAATTGATGTTCATAATTACATTTTTCCACAAACTTTTAAAATCATGTTATTATTTGTTAATTTTCCACCTTTAGCGTCAATCAATCACGTCCTAAATAATTAGATTGTTTAGAAACTACTGTTGATTCACATACTTCGAAACAATGCTTTTATGATTTAATATTGCAGTATCCGTTCGACGAATATTGCCAGGACCCAGGAATCAGCGCGATCTTGTATTGCGGGGATGTATCAAGAGTCTATTCCAAAACCTCCAGATGGTATGATTTATTAGAAAAAAGGAAAACACACACCAGAGAGAGTCTTCAGCCTGAATATGCTAAATATTTCACCAACCAATCTTTTCAACGCTCACATGAGCCTTTAATATATGAATATTTAATTAGTTATTATTGATACTTTACTGAATTTACATATAATATAATATTGAAGATTGACACCCCCCGGTCCTCCTTATTTGTACCTGATCGACAGTCCTTAAATTAACGAAGAATTGATTATGATGGTTAAAACTTGTAACTTCATGACGGAATATAATACCACGATCAATGCATCTGTAAGAGTTGTATATAGTTAGATTCTTCTTAACAAAGCATACATGTAATCTTGTTCCTATAAGAACTTATTTCTAAATGTCAACAATTTGTTCTACAACTATAGATGTTAATGCCAAAACATTCTAAGCAATAGGTGATTTTCCGTACAATTGCAAGATCTCGCGAGATGCATGAAAGACGCGCGTCGAACGTCTGCCGCAAACATCGAACGATTTGATTTGAACTCGAATTTCCTTATTTCGTAGTTCACATCGACCGGCCGATCTTCGACAGAGGAATATTGCTTCCGAATACCCTTACTTAATCGAAATTGCCTATCATCAAATGTGGACAGCACATTATTAAGCATGGAAACGTCCCTGAAATACTTTCGCGTTTGTCGAATCCCACGCGATGTTTGACGCGACTACGACGCTATGACCTTTGTTTGTCCTGTTTTTACGTTCGATTTCACGCATAACGCGTGATTCTCGCAGTGTACGGAAAATGGTCTATTTACCACCATTAATAACCGGGAATACCATCTGCAGTCATACATAGAACACGGAAATTGTTTATTGTCATCCGAATTACAATCTTTATTCCAGATCCTGTTGTCATCTACACTGATGATGAGGCCACTGAAATTCTGTATCCTAGCAACAGACATTGTAAGCGTCTAGGGTCGCACACCAAATGGCTAGAGAAGCATTTAGACGTTATACCTGGTCTCAGCAAAGACAGAAAGACAATACAACAATTACTGAAACTTGACAACGAAGAAGATGTTAATTTTATTAACATCAGAGATGACATATTTGCAAGAATGGTATATCATTCTGAATTTGAAATTATGACTGTACTAAATTTTTGAAAGTGTTCTAAATTCACAACGAAAAAAAAAAGACAAATCGTACCGCACCATACTAGCTGCTACCCAGTGCAACCATATCAATAGTGAGGTGGCCAATCACAGCTAGTCAGACTGGGATATATAACCACGTAATTATCGAGGTGAATAGCCAAAGTTAGTCGGACGTGTTGCATATATCGCGTAATTACAGCAGTGGCCAATCACACCTAGTTAGACTGGGTGCATATAACCACGTATGGTGACCAACTAAAGCTAGTCGAACGTGTAGCATATGTTTCTATACACATAAAGAGAACAGTTGCTTATACATGAATATTACCATTATCTACAATAGAGAAGTGAGGAGCCCTTACATAATGACAAATGGGAGAATGTGTTAATGTGTGTCTTGTATTACAAATTTATTATATGCACACAAATTAAAACTATATAAAGTTCTAAATTATAACCCTCTATACTATATTTCCAAAATATCACAATTCTATTTTCTTCATCCCTCCCTCCCTCCCTTCCTTCCTTCCTTCCTTCCTTCCTTCCGACAATGACGAAATGTTGTGTAATCAAGGGGATATATATTATTAATTTCAGTCTCACAGCCTCGCAGTTCCAGAAGTTCTGAAACCACATGTAGATTGCATTGAAATGCGTACTTTAGAATTAACCAGAGCTACTGTGATGGGTACAACAAATGAAGACAACACTGAAATATTGAAGATGTCTGTTGGACCACTGGTAGAACTTATACTACAGAACATGAAAGAGGCTGCCGACGGTAAAAGGTAATATGTGTGATACTAGTATATTAAAGGGCGGTAGTCGTCGCACCGCGCATGTGCGACATTTGTGTTGACTGATTTTCCCACAATCCAATGCGTTGTTCTAATTAAATCACGAGTACGAGAGTTGACATGAGCGTGTCTTACACTAATTACCAACGGTGACTACTTCGATACCTTACAATCACCTAAAATACACCCAATTAAAGCTTGGTAACGTCTCAGTTTGCACTACCTGGTCTGCGAAACACTCAAAGTCGCCATCTTTGTTTATATAAGACCCATATACCGCGCATGCGTGGCGCGACAACCACCACCATTAATATTCTCATATTGCACTAATTAAGAAACTAGTCAATACATACATACATTTAACCGCTACAAACTCGCAACTACTAGTGTTAACTTGGCCTGATCATATAATACTAACAATCTGACCAATACTATTCATTTCAGTGGATGTAAGTTCCATCTGTATGCATGCCATGATTCATCCATTATTGCAATTCTATCTGCTTTTGATATATTCGACAACCAATGGCCACCGTTTGCTGCAGATCTTAGATTTGAAGTGTACAGGAATACTATTGGTCAACATTTTGTGAAGATATCATATGTTGGAAAGGTAAGTAAGTTCAACATCCATCCAATAATGAATATGCACCACTCAAAGTTCGAGCCTAATTTATATAATGCATGTTACTCCACATATGCAATGCATTTTGGGGCAGAACTTCTCATTGAATATAATTAAAAACTGCTACCACTGGAAACTCATTATATTAAATACTAATTTTTGACATGTTTTAACAATATCAGGTCTCATAGTATCAATAATAATAATAATAATAATAATAATAATAATAATAATAATAATAATAATAAATGAAACAAAGCATTAAACCAAAATAATGAAAGCATATATATATGTTGATATAAAACCGCTTTAAAAATGTTATATGGATGGTAATATGTAATTGTTAATATGTTGTTTGATACTGCACATTGTTGAACACATATGTAATTATTATGTAATTCGTTGCAATATTTATAAGTGTATGTGCCTTATAATTTACAATCCACTATGTTATATACTTAAATACTTACCACCAATGTCGTTTTCGACATCATTATCATATACAATATCCATGTTGGCAAAGACGAGTTTTCATATCATTATGTATCAATCAGTTTTTAGCCAACCCACGTTTTGGGCTAATCTGCACTGGCTCGGAAGGTTGTAAATGATTAGCTAGTTTGAATTTGCATAACAATACTGACAATGAACGTGCATTCAACGCCACAAGTTTTTTTGTTTTTTTAGCCAATCAGAATTCATCTTCCGAGCCAGTGCAGATCAGCCGCACGTTTTATAGCTTTATCTGTAATTCACCTGCACAGCATTCTCGCATATTTACCTTGACCTACGTCTGGCACATTATATGTTGGTTTTTAAACTAGATTTAACCAACCCATTGATACGTTTTATTACATTATCGTGCTACTAGACAAAGGGACGTTTAAATTTCTTAATTAAGTTCATATTAAACACCCAATGTATCATTTTATTGTTTCCCAGGACTAACCATCATCATCCTGTTTTTCAGTCAAAGTTTCACTTTAAAACGATATAAAAGCACACTTTTTTAAATGCTACAAACATTTTGCTTCTAGTCTAGTAGGTAGTGTTAACAAGGTAAGCAGGGGCAACATTTTCACGATTTTGTAAAAGTAATTTTACCATTTATTCCAGGTATTGACAATGCCTTGTCTTATCCCACTTGATAGCTTAGTATCTAAAATGATAACTATAGCAACTGACAAGACATGTCATGGAGGACTGTGCCAAGATCCACTGTACACAAGTGGTGATGAAAGTCAAGTCAACATTGCTGATGGTGTTGGAGTTTGAATTCCAAAATGGTATATTATCTAGACACAATGCACGTGTAAATTTTAAATTGTTATACACATTACGATTTTCTTGTCCTTTATTGTATTCGTATATTTCTTCAGAAGATAACTTGCAGTAAAAACGAATGAAAAACGGAAAAATCACGAATATATAAGTTTATACCAAGATTCAAAATGAAATTTCTGGTTTTCAAATATTTTCTGATAAGCATTTTCAGAGAAATTTAACCTAATTGATGAAACAAAAAAATAATTATGCCCAGATTCCTTAGTTGTTGTGACTTGCCAAATATTTTTCAGAATTTAGCTTCAATTTGTTGTTGTGCACCTTGTTGTGTACATTGAAATTAGCAGTTGGCACTATTTTTATTGGACTGTTCGTACTGTTTTCGTGGAAATAAACTAACTTTCCTGAAACTACATATTTGTGACATTTTTCTAGTTTTGTTTTTGTCTTTTTTTTAATTATACACTGCACACATTTAATGTTTTCATTTATTTTTCTTTTAAATGTGCTTTTTATTCTGAGGTGGCTCGTAAATGTGTTGTCTTGTTTTTACAAAAATCCTCTTGATCTCAAAATTTTCAAATGGACAAAACCTAAAACTGTTAATGACTGTTAGCATAGAGCATAGAAAATCATAGAAGTACAATGGCATTACGAGTATGTGAACTAAACGTATAGACAGATGTAATATATGGAAGACGTGGTCCGTTTCAGTAAGGTGGGTAGTTGGTGAATAAGGCTGAAAAAGTGTTAATCATTGGATATTATTAGTCCCCGTTCGGACTATTAATATTTGGGGTCGTTCCTTCCGTCCGTCCGTACGTACGCTACATCTTGGACACCCATTGACGGATTTCATTCAAACTTTAACAATACATAATTTCTCACATATGCGCGTCAGGTTACTTTATGAACGGAGCAATGTCGGCCATTTTGGATGTGCTATTTCTGATACCTAAACGTGTCCGCAGCAGTTTCTCGGCGATGACTGGGCCGATTTGGATCAAAGTTGGTATGATGATCATACATATTGCGTTGTTGGTGCACGTCATTTTTTTTCGTGATTCGTACAAATATGGCCGACTGGCAGCCATCTTGTTTTTCATGGTACCCATGCTACTTTATCTTGAATGCAATGAACGTTTATGTTTAAATTTTGTACAAAGATAGTATACCAAGAGATATATCTGCACCAACATGATTTTTGTGATTCAATTCAATATGGCTGGCCGACGCCCAATTTTCATATAAAAGTTAAAGCTAAATCATAATTTTCTACAAATCCGCCTCCTATTAATGGTTTTAATCTAATCTCAATGACTTCATCATCATCAAATTGATATGTCAGATCACACAATTTTGGACGGGGACTGTGTCATTAACAATGACTTGTTGTTTATAATTTATATTATTATTATATCATAACATAGTATTGTGTAACTTGTCTGATTGTGACCAAATTAGAACGGATCCAAAGTTTCCAAATGCTGGCTTAATAACATTTATTTGCCTTTTTATCTATTTTTTATATTTCTTGCAACATAATAAATACAGAGTATACAGTGTACCATGGGACACTCACACTGAAATTCAGACAAATCAAAATAGCATCATTGTAACGGCAGTATTCCTAGTTAAACCTCGATATAAGTATACTGATATTTGGTGTATCCTATATAGTTGTCCTATATTTGGTTGGACGTTACAATGATCAGCGGCAATGTTGAAAGCGGCGGACAGACACATGTCAGTACTGAGCACCTACAACAAGTACACGCTCAGATATTTGTTCGCCATGGTGCCAGGACCCCAATCAAAATAATACCCAATGTAGAATCGGTAGGTATATGTGTAATCAATTTGGTGGTATTGTAAGAAATACATTTTTAACAAAATACAAGCACATTTATCATTGCTGTCTATGTAGTGCAGTGGATATGGGATCTACAAATAAAATAGATCTGATTTATGAGTCAACTAGTAAATGCTGACCAGTAGATTTCTATTATGCAGATTAGTGGAGTGGCTTTTAGTAAATCTGTACTTTTCTATGCAATGAGGTCGTTGTAAACACAAGTCACAACCTGAATTGGCGAATTTTATGATGATCAACCCTAAAATATGATGCACACCAAATTGTCTAACAAGATGGTGGTTGGAGTAAAAGTCTTTAGTTGATGTTCGTATTCATTGTAGGCTATATGGGATAAAGACGAGTTATTTTCAGGTGCTGAGAATACACATATAGAGTATGAAGTTAAGTCAATTAATGGCGGACCAGCGCCATTTTGGACTGCAGAAGCTGGATATAGAACCCAAGTGCTACAGGTATAGTATATATGTGAATACACGAATATATTAATAGCATCATCAGGCAACTCTTCACATTATCATTAGCTGCATATAATGTTTGACTGTTAAAAATTGTTGAAGTCACAGAAAATAAACAGTAGACTTGAATCAATACGAGTCTAGCATCACATTTAAAACTAACTGTCACCAAACATCTGAATTGAAACAATCGATTCGCATTTGATTCGATTCTCATCACGGGTAGCCCCTTACCATCGTTAAGGTGTGTATAACATTGAATTGTATAACATACTTGAATACATCAAGAACTAATCTATAACTGATTTTCAAATACAAAACCCTCTAGCACATAACTATTAAAATGTTGAGCACATTCATGATATGCAATGGCTTTGATAAACAAGTACACAGGAGCAAAAGAGAAAAGGAAATTATAATCTCCCAGTAAAGATAATTACATATGACAGTAAAATGCTTTTTTATTCTATATAAATTGGAATAATATCCTGTGATGATATGTCGGAACAGCATATTTAAATGTAACTATGCAATGATTTTAATTTCACTAGCGATGCTAAGATGATAAAGTTCTATGTTCTAGGGTGGGTCTTTTCCAGGTCAACTGACAGCTAATGGCATGCAACAAATGTATCAACTTGGATTACAACTAAGAAGAGAATACATAGTAGAAAAGGAATTTTTGTCTAGCAACTACAACTCATCTGAAATATAGTAAGTCCGTATATTATACAATAAATAACCAAGACCCAGCAGATGTGATTAAACCTGCATATTCAACTTGCCAAATGATGCAACTCCAAGGAAGGTTTGCATATTTTTTTTTTGTAGCTAGACAATTTGGTGCAATAATCATATTTATATCACAAACAAATAAATAAAACTGAAATGATAGACATGCTATTTGATAGATCATTCAATTACATCATATGCTATTTTTAGATTACATAATTAAATACAGAATATTTAGAGTTTCAAATTACGATTTCATTTTTAATATTGCAGTATCCGCTCAACAAATTTTGCCAGGACCCTTGAAACAGCAAGATCGTGTATTGCAGGGATGTTTCAAGACTCGATTCCGAAACATCCAGATGGTATGAAAAAGTGTTAGCAACATAACCCAATCATAGGCCCTTAAAAGAAAGTCGTATAGAAAATTTACAACTCACGTATAAAGAAAGAAAGATGTATAGACTACATATAAATAATAGCTCAGAGGAGAACACATACGTGAGGGTTTCTTTACACTGAGTGAAAATCTTTGACATGGTTTAACTATTTTACTTAATGTTTTATAATTCGATATTTCACTAAACTTTACACAGATAATATCGCGGAAGTTAAGCTGATGCTTATCAGTCTTATGTCAATTTCTGGTTTTGTTTTCCTCTGGTAAATTTGTCTTATTACTCAGTACTAGAGATTTTCGATTAATGGATGCCTGTACATTTCCTAACGGCTTTGATTGATGACTGATGGAAATAAAGGTGACAAATGATGCCACAAACCACTATTCCAATCATTCCCGGAAAAACGAGAATGACAAAAAATACCCAATTTGTTTTTTAATGATCTGAATTATATTTTGATATCAGAGCCTGTTGTCATCTACACAGATGAAGACGCAACTGAAATCCTGTATCCTGGCAGAATACACGGCACTAACTTGCAGGCGTATAAAAAAGGCTAGCCAAACTTTTAGACATTATTCCTGGCCTCACCAAAGACAGACAGACAATAAAACAAGTATTGAAACTTGACAATGAAGAAAATTTCAATTTTCATGGTATTAGTGATGATATATCCGCAAGAATGGTGAGCCTTTAATTCGAAATTTTAAATCTTCAACTTTTGAAAGTGTGCCTTAAAACAATATATGCATTCATTTGTACTTAGCATTGTGTAAGACGAATAATCACACACCCCTTTGAGGGGACGCTGTTTCATTACAGCGTGCTGCATATTTGGGTTGTACATATGATTACAGTTTTTGGTATATAAATACACCTTGACCCTTCACTAGTCTGAATTTGATTAATATCTGTTTAATTTCAGTCTCACGATCTCCCAATTCCAGAAGTTCTAAAACCATATTTAGACTGTATTGAAAGACATACTTTAGAATTAACAAAGATTGCAATGATGGGTATAAAAGGTGATGAAAATAATGAGACATTGAAAATGAATGCGGGGACACTTGTACCTCTTGTAGTACAGAACCTCAGAGATGCTGCACAGGAGAAAGGTGAGATACGATATTTGATGTTGTACCATTATTATTATAGAATACTAAACACGAACAACGGTTAGTGGCATAACACAGCAACACAACTAAAACTATCATAACGGCCAACTTAAATCTGACATTGCTAAACTTACCAATATTACATATAGTGAAATACTGATTAATAAACTGATCTGTGGATTAGAAGACCAACATGTTCAATTAGCTTTCACAGAAGGAAACTGCTTAGAGTCACTACAAAATACCATTATGATTATAATAATCTTATACCTATCACAACACTACTACCTCTATATTACATTCAAATATAATACAACGATATCCTAATAAAATGAGATGGTTACAGTGTGAAGCATTATGAACTAGTGTATTGTAACCGCCATATAATTTGTAACATGAATGTCAGGAATTGATCTTTGGAAGTGGCGTGCTGGTATTAAATATGGTTATAATCACTATAAACCAACCAATGCCATTTTTTTTCATTTCAGTGGATGCAAGTTCCATTTGTATGCATGCCATGATTTGTCTATTATTATTCTTCTATCTGCCTTGAATATATTCGACAATCAATGGCTATCGTTTGCAGCAGATCTTAGATTTGAAGTGTACAAGAATACTATTGGTCAACATTTTGTGAAGATATCTTATGTTGGAAAGGTAAGTGTTATCATGAAGGTGTCCAACATAAATCACTCAAAAAGTATTCCATTGTATGACATATGCTTCTGTATCATTAATTCCAGGTACTGAAAGTGCCAGGTGAACCTTGTCTCATCCCACTGGAAAGCTTAGTATCAAAAATGTCAACTATAGCAACTGAAATGTAATGGCATGGTGGACAATTATATAGACCCTCTATACAGTTATGATTATGAATATCAAGATGGCTCAAATGTTTATTTTTAGACTACAATATATATCTTGGAAAGTTAGCAAATTTAAATACAGAATAGAGTTTGCAGTTATTGTTTGCAGAACATGATAGAGCTTCCCTAGTTTAACCTCATCAAATTGCATAACACTTTGTAAACAATTAATAGCACGACAAAAAAAAATTATGCAGCAACACCTAGAATTAGAATATTCAATATGAGACACTTTCGAAACCAAAAGATTACCAGTCGAATGAAGAGAACGGGGAACAGAAATAAACAAAAATTAGGTGACAGAGAATCTTTGTTGAGTCCAAGTTTTAAGGATGAATATGCCTTAACATGTACTGTTCATCATTATGTTATGTATATAATATTACATTCTGGCCATACATGCTACAAGAAAATATCAAGTCGGGCAAGAATAAAAAATTGCTGCTTAATCATGTGACTGGTCAAGATTATTGTATTTTTTTGTAAGACGCTATGTCCAAAAATGCTACATGCCAAATATCCAATTAATCGAATAGAGAACTGGTGAGAAATAACGAGATCACGCGAATGATTTGAATTATTTATTCCTTGTCCAAAGAAGTTTAGTATAAAGATGCAACATAGAAAATGTCAATACAATCGGATGAATGTTGCGTCTGTAAATATCTACTTTCTTGTTTGTAACTTTAAATCGGTTTCTGTGCAGTGTTATTTTCTGTACGATGATAAATTTCTTCCAGTTGATTATTTCTGAATATTAAATATCCCTGGGTTTGAAACAAAACAACAAAGACCGACTGCTGAATAATCATGGCAGGAAAAACATCATGCATAAGAGAGAAATGTTCATGACTTATCAATGATTCGAAATAATTGTTTTTGATCTCTATTATTATTCACATTCAAAATTGAAAAAGCTTAACAACTCTGTATTTGTTTCTTTTATTACGAATATAATCATCCTACAACAAGCATGAACAATAATGTCATCAGCAGTTTTCTGTCATAAGCATTTTCTGATCCGAGAAATTCTATGGTAGTGGTAAAACAAAGATTTACTAACAAGACTTACCTTATTCAGCTCACTGAAATTTGCAATCCAAGAGCTATTTTTACTTAGTTGTTGCAACTTATCATAATATGTTTTTCACAATTTAGCTTCAATTTGTCGAAATCAGGGTTAGCATTATTTGACTGTTCATATTGTTCTTGTGCGAATAAACTAACTTTGCTGAACCTACGTATTTGTGCCATGTACCCAGCCATTTATACACTGCACACATTTATTTAAAACGTTTTTTTTTATTCTAAGGTGGCTCGTAATATTTTTATTTTTCACAAAATTCTCTAGACCTCAATTTATTGTACATTTTCTAGATAATAAGAAGGGCAATGCGTATGTATATGAGTTTGTACATTCAACAGTATGGAGAGACCTAACACATGCAAGGCGATGTATGTTTCAGTCAGGTGGGTAGTTGGTAAACGAGTCTCAAAAACCGGTCTAATAATTAACTGTAATAATTGTAAAATTGTAACACATACATAGTTTATTTTTAATTTTAAGACAACATTTCACGTTTAAAAATGGTCCATGGGACATCCACATTAAAATTTGGACAAACCAAATTAGCATCCACATCACAGACAAGTCACGTCATCATTGGGTCAAAGGTGGTATTCCTATTTATACCACAATTTAAGTGAAAACAACATAGCTCTTAATTCATATACCGGTTGGACGTTACAATGATCAGCAATAATGTTGGAAGCGATGAACAGACATATGACAGTACTGATCACCTACAACAAGTACACGCTCAGATATTTGTTCGCCATGGTGCCAGGACTCCAATCGAAATAGTACCCAATGTAGAATCGGTAGGTATATGTGTAATCAATTTGGTGGTATTGTAAGAAATACATTTTTAACAAAATACAAGCACATTTATCATTGCTGTCCATGTAGTGCAGTGGATATGGGATCTACAAATAAAATAGATCTGATTTATGAGTCAACTAGTAAATGCTGACCAGTAGATTTCTACTATGCAGATTAGTGGAGTGGCTTTTAGTAAATCTTTACCTCTCTATGCAACCCTAAAATATGATGCACACCAAATTGTCTAACAAGATGGTGGTTGGAGTAAAAGTCTTTAGTTGATGTTCGTATTCGGTAGGTATATGTGTGTAATCAATTTGGTGGTATTGTAAGAAATACATTTTGTGAATAACGTCAAGCCATTCTCAATAAGTTAGTGGTTAAATCAACTTCACAGTTTATATTATACGCAATGTTACACCACTGTGAATGACTCTCAGAATACAAGATGCCCTTGTAACTAGAGGCAAGCAAATTTATAATTGCTGTCCATGTAGTGCATTGGGTGTAAGATCTACAAATAACTTATAACTCAGACAGTAAATGCTGACCAGTAGATTTCCACTATGCAGATTAATTGAGTGGCTTTTAGTAAATCTGTACTTTTCTATGCAATGAGGTCGTTGTCAGCACCAGTTGCAACCTGAATTGGCGAAGTTTATGATGATCAACCTCAAAATATGATGCACACCAAATTGTCTAACAGAATGGTGGTTGAAGTAAAAATCCTAAATTGATGTTCGTATTCATTGTAGGCTACATGGGACAAAGACGAGTTGTTTTCAGGTGCTGAGAATACGTATATAAAATATAAAGTGAAGTCAATTAATTGCGGACCGGCGCCATTTTGGACTGCCGAAGCAAGATATAGAGGCCATGTGTTCAAGGTATGGTATATATATGAATAGACGAATATATTAATATGTTGAAAATAGCATCATCAGGCAACTCTTCACATTATCATTAGCTGCATATAATGTTTTACTGTTAAAAATGAGTGGGATATCATTCTGTGATGATATGTAGGAGCATATTTGATTGTGTAATGTGCATTAACATGTGTTTAACATTGTGTTCTAGGGTGGATCTTTTCCAGGTCAACTGACAGCTATTGGAATGCAACAAATGTATCAACTTGGATTAAAACTAAGAAGGGAATACATAGTAGAAAAGCAATTTTTGTCTAGCAACTACAACTCATCTGAAATATAGTAAGTCCATATATTATACAATAAAAGGCATGTATTTGCACGAAGACCCAACAGATGTGATTAAACCTGCAAATGGTGAAATGTCCCTAATTATATCTTTCCAACACCAAATAAATAAAACAGAAATGATTGTCATGCTACGTGACTCACAGCAATCTAAATAACGTTTCACAATAAATGCTTCCTAAAAGAAATTGTACCTTAAAATAATACGTAATGTCTACGTCACAACCTTATTAGCATATTGTGTTCGCAGTGTGTATGCTCCCAGCCGTTCTTATGCATTCCACAATATATGCGTGACAGTTTATCGATCATGAAAGGGTATTGACACATAACCACTGTGGACAACTTTCCCAGTGTTTTTGACATTCACAAATTTTGACCATGGATCTACATCTACACACTCTTCCACATTGTGAGCGGGACTTTTGAACGTCGTGTTCAATGTCCTGCCTCACAACCATAGCATGGCATTACCATTAATTGTGTCACTATCTTTTCTTTCTTTAAAAACAGTGAATTTGATTCCAATTTCTAGTTCCGGTTCTCATAACTGTGAATAAATCAATCAAATACGTCACATGTTATGTATAAGGTTACACGATTAAATACAGAGTTTAAATCGAAGTAATATTTTTCTTATTTTAATATTGCAGTATCCGCTCGACAAATATTGCCAGGACCCTTGAATCAGCGAGATCCTGTATTGCAGGGATGTATCAAGACTTAATTCTGAAACCTCCAGATGGTATGAAAAAAGACCAACAACCGACAAGCACACTACATTTCACAGACAAACCAGTGAGAGAAACATATATATAAACTTCCTATAAATAATAGCTCAGAGTCAAACACATACATGATAGTGTGACGTAAAATGCGGGGTGGGGTTTAGTGGGGCTACCCCGCATTCAGGAGCTGGGAGCTTGGTAGCGCGCTTATCATATTAAAGCCTTCTCCCTTCAGCTCGTCCGCTGCCACCGGGTGGGGATCGTTTGATGAAAGTATATCACCACTGAGGCTGTGCAAGGGAAGGTTTAGTGACCATGCTGATGTATGAACCATATATAGTGTTGTGTTAATAAATTGTTATTACATAAATAGACGGGGTGCTAGTCACTGGAACCAGCAAGGGATGGGGATATACAGTAAACAAATAAAACATAGGACCTGGTCGATGCTGCTGGGAACACTCCACTCTCCGGTGATCAGCAATGTACAATGTTGTGATCCATCGTATCTGGCACACTGTCAAAGCAGCTGCACTACAACTCCTGATCTGTGTCCAATTGCACTGCTATCTGCTGCTACTAGTAGCACCGATACAACGGGAGCATTTCGAGCAGTGAGTGTCAGTGGTTCCTGTTGATCAGCAGCGATTACTGCACAGCACGTCTGCATATGTACCCCTGTATAGGGTACAGCTCACCGGAGTCAGGAATCACCATCACAGGATGTTACAGGATCAAGCCAGGTCACCTTCCTGACTAAAGATTTTCACACTTGTATCAACTTAAAGCGCGGTAGTCGTCGCGCTGCGCATGTGCGAGATATATGGGTCTCATATAAACAAAGATGGCGAATTTGACTGTTGCGCAGAACAACGAGTACGAACTGAGACGTTTCCAAGCTTTAATTAGGTAATTTTCATGTGATTGGAATGTATCGAAAGAGTCACCGGCGGTAATCAGTGCAAATCGCGCCCAGGTCAAACCTCATATTTGTGATTTCCATTTGAAGAGCGCATTGGATTGTGGGAAAATCAATGTTTATCAATACAAATGTAGCACATGCGTAGCGCGACGACTGCCGCGGTTTAAATACTACAACTAAATTATGGCCATGCAAACAATAAAATGTATTTCAAAATAGCGGACAAATTAGTGTAGAGGATGCTAATTTTGATAGTGGAATAAACCACTCTTTATCCGAGCTCTACCAATTTAAACTAGGAGACTCGGGTCAATATTTCATTGCCAACAACACTGGGCTCAGCAACTTCCAAATGTTTTTTACAAACACCACGCCACTGTCTGGGACATACCATTATGCCACAAGGAGAGACATGGTGTATGCATCTCAAATTCTTCTGACAACACAATCCAGTGACTGTATCAGCAGTCTAAAAATAAACATGTGCATTGGGTTGTTGCAAAGTATCCAAGCATGTGTGCTTTTCCTTCACACAGCAATCTGTGGACTCTGTACTTTTCACTTACTATTTATGTCACAATAGTATATTTAAACTTAATGCAATATCAAGTGAATGAACCATTTTAGCAGGCTCGCACGAGACTTTATTGATTGAGAGTGATCAAGTAGCTTATGAATTACACCTATATATCCACTAAATTTGATTTTCAACAATGTATCTATAAGAGGTGTTTTTACGAAGCATCAAAGGGGATCTACATTTTCCATGTCAAATATCATATATCAAATTCAGAGCGATTTGTGGGAAAACACAGCGATCAAGACTTTCTATTTACAACATTGTGAAATTTCTATTTTCGAAAAAATGAAAACAGCATCGTTATTGTAGTTAAATTAAATGTTTCTAGTTCGGCTTTGAGGGTATAACGTCCATAAACATGGTCGATGATTGCGAGACTGGTCGCCATTACATTTTAAAAAGTCGATTGCTTAGCATGAAAGCTTATGACAAGGATATTTGAAGCCAAAATCGGAGAAGCTCAATGAAAACAAGAAAAGGGTAACAAGAAATGCCAAGACTCACTATTCTAACCATTTCCGCAAATACGAGAATGACACCATAAAGTCCATAATTGTTTATAATCTGAATTATATTTTGGTATTTTAGAGCCTGTTATCATCTACACAGACGAGGACGCAACTGAAATCCTGTATCCTGAGACAAGACAATGCAGTCATCTACAGGCATATAACAAATGGCTAGCTAAACATTTAGACATTATTCCTGGCCTCACCAAAGATAGACAGACAATACAACATGTATTGGGACTTGGCAATGAAGAGGACGTACATTTTTATTTCATTAGAGATGATATATTTACGAGAATGGTAAGCCTTTAATTTTGAAATTTGTTATTGTGTAACACTTTTGAAAGTGTAAGAATGCTAATGAGTTTGCGCTGATAGCTATGTCTCACACTATCTCCTCAAGAAACGTCTTTTTCAACCTACTCAATTTGCTGTTCAACTGTCTGACTTTGTGTGGACTCTTTTAAATACTCCAAGACAGTTCTGGACTAATTTTGAAGAAGTTTTACTCCATCCACATTGCCGTTTTAAAGTTTTTTTTGAAATATTTTCAACTTGCTCTCTGAAGTGCTGCCATTTTTTTATTCATCATGACGTTACCATTATATAACAAACCCACTTTATCAAGACGAAATCCTGCCACCTGGTTTGAATTGAACAGACATAATTTATGCATGACCCCATTAACGAAGAGAGGTTCCACTGGAGGTACAAAGAAACACATTCCTGTTATTTCCACACCCAGCCTACAGACACTAAACTAAGTTCAAGAAGAATATGTTACCAAAATCTGACTACAATTCCAGTTCTTGTCAAACCTATGTCGACTCATCGATTATTTAACAGTCTTGATTGCGGTCTTGTGAATTTCCGGTCACTTAGAATTAAATCCACACAGATTACTGACTTTGTTAATGAACATGATCTGGACATGATCATGTTCACTGAAACCTGGCTTCTGGCTATAAGTATCATATACCAAGAACATCATGCAAGGGCGGCGGCGTTGCTGTTATGTCAAAAACCAACCTGAAAATTGCCAAGGAAAAACAACAACTCGTAGTCAAATCATTTGAATACAGGCAAGTGCACCCAAGCTCCCCTACTGACCACTGGAAGTTGATTATTATCTTCGTCCACCACCTAATCAGAAGAATAAATTTACATCTAGTCAATTCTTTGAGGAATTCAAACTTTTGATTGCTGGAGACTTCAACATTCACATGGATAATAAGAACGATATTCATTCTACTCAACTTAACACAATTCTGGCAACAAGCAACCTTATCCAACATAAAAGTTATATCCTGGACTCGTTCATCTAATAACATCACTGACATCACTATTAGTGGCCCTGCTATATCTGATAACTATGCTGTTATATATATGCTGTTTCCATACTACCGCAGTTATTACATCACCAGCTTCAACTATATCTGCTCTTATTACTTAATACAACTCTTCACTGTTTTTGGACCGTCATGCTCAAGAAAGAAGAAGAACTGTGACAATTAGGCAAAATACCAAATGGTTTACAGAAGAAGTTACATCTATGAAAAGGGAAAGAAGAAAAGCTGAGCAACGCTGGCGTAATACACAGTTATACAGTGCATAAGGATATATATTTAAATCAATGTAAATCTCTTCACCGATTGATCAACTCCAAAAAAGCTGAATACTATTCTACATTGTTAGAAGATAAACAATCGGACCAAAAATTCATGTTCACCATAATTAACACTCTATTACACAGGAAACGTGAGTCACCTCTACCAAAACATGATTCAACCCAAGAACTTTCAGAAAGGTTTGCTACATATTTTGCTCAGAAGATCCAGGCAATATGGACCAACCTGTACAGCAGTCGGCCGAACAATATCCAACAATGCAGAACAATCACCAACCCCCTTAAAACATTATTGCCAGCCACCAGCGACGAAGTAAAAAAATTGTCAATAATTCACCAAATAAATCTTGCGGACTTGATTCTATGCCAACTTTTCTTGTTAAGAAATCCCTGGACGTACTACTACCAAGTATCACTACTATCCTCGGGGGCGGACATCCAGGCATTTTCACCTACTGGCAACCAGCGGCGGTGAAAACAAATGCCAAAAACTCGCAGAAAACGGTACTTTGGGATGATTGTTGAGACTCTTCTGAACAGTGTAACACGATTAGCCCTACGTGTGTAACGTATATAAATTTGGTTGTTCGGGATTACTTCAAAGTTGAGTTTGTGTTGTTTTCTTGAATTTTCACCGACTCGACCGTCGTTCCACAGCAGCGCGCACAGAGCCCATAGAAATGCATGTACAGCGGTGCGCGTCGTAGCAACGTGAAACGTCTTGTGACGTAGCTCCGCCCCCGAGGATTGTCAATTCATCACTTTCTACAGGCTATGTTCCAGCCCTTTTTAAACTAGCTTTAGTTTCTAGATCCTGACGTCCTGAAGAACTATTGCCCAGTCTCGAACCTTACATTTGTCTCAAAAGTCACAGAGAAAGTAGTTGCCAATAGATTGATCTCACACTTGCATTCAAACAATCTTCTTGAATCACAATCGCACAGCACAGAAATTGCTCTTACACGCGTTCAAAATGATATACTCATGGCACTTGACCAGTAGAAAATTGTGATGCTAGTTTTATTGGATTTATCTGCTGCCTCCGATACTGTCGACCATTCGCTTCTTCTAGCACATATGTCAAGTGGTATGGGTGTGGCAGAGACTGCACTATCTTGGTTTGAATCATATCTCTCAGATCGACAACAAAAAGTTTGTATCCATGGATCAATATCATCACTACATAACTTAAAGTATGGCGTGCCCCGAGGATCTGTACTGGGCCCTATCCTTTTCACTTTGTACACATCTCCACTTGGTGATGTAATCCGACATCACAACATTAACTTTCTTCTCTATGCCGACGACACACAACTATATTTATGATTCAAGACCAACAATATTGACATCAACATTTGCCATATGGAAAGTGCGATCAAGGATATTCATAATTGGTTGACATCAAATTTCTTAAAACTCAACTCGGACAAGACGGAACTGTTACTTTTTGGATCTCGACCAAATCTGGCCAAGTTAAATTTACCATCTATACAGATTGAGGGTTGTACCATCGTGCCAACAACATCTGCTCGTAATCTTGGTGTAGAGTTTGACAAGCATATGACCATGGAAAATCGTGTGTATAGTATTTGTAAATCATCATATATTCATATCCGCAATATTAGTTCCATCAGGAAGTACCTAACTAATGCAACTACAAAACATTTAGTACATTCTTTTGTGACCATGGAAACAGTCTCCTCTACGGCATTGCCCAGACGAATATTCATAAGCTCCAACTTGTTCCAAATACAGCGGCACGCCTCATCACAAAGACTAGGAAATTTGACTATATCACTGAAGTTCTATACAACCTACACTGGCTTCCTGTTCAACAACGCATTAATTTCAAGATCATGTTAATCGAGTTTCGTGATATTCACAACACCCTGCTATCCTACATTTGCGAACTTGTTCCATCGTGCAAACCCACTCGCAGTCTACGCTCCACAAATAAACTTCTTCTGAACGTTCCAAAAACTAATACCAAATCTTTCGGTCATCAAGCCATCTGCCATGCTGCTCCTGCCTTATGGAATGAACTACCCCTACATATCAAACTCTCAGACAATTTTGACATTTTTAAGAAGAAACTTTAAAACTCATCTTTTTTGACAGTCTTTTGATACTCAGTAGTTTTTGATTTTATTTTGTTTGTTTATAACTTTATCTCTTGTATATTGTTAAGCGCCTATGAACATTTAATTTTGAATATATGGCGGTATAATAAATGCATACTTATTATTATTATTAATGTAAGAATTCATTTGCACTTTCCATTGTGTAAGACGAATTGTCATACACCCCTATTGGACAGGACGCTATCACATTGACATCACAGTGTCAGTGGGTGTCAGTGGTCAATTACAGTCATCTAGATCTCAGTATAAATCCATCTTGAATTAACCACAACTGCCCACTCCGATAGTGTTACATGGACTTAAATAATATCTGTTTGATTTCAGTTTCACAATCTCCCAATTCCGGAAGTTCTAAAACCATATTTGGATATTATTGAAAAACGCACTCTAGAAATAGCCAGAGTTGCAACAATGGGAATCACCTCGGATGAAAATATTGAGACATTGAAAATGAATGTTGGACCACTGGTGGCACTTATAGTACAGAACCTCAGAGATGCTGCACTGGAAAAAAGGTGATATGTGTGATATATTTGATATGTACCAATATTATGACAGAAAACAGACCAATGATACTATAACACGTGCAATGGTTACTGACATGAACACAACATCGCTACTAAAACTATCTTAACAACCAACTTATCTGTAATTTCGTTACCACCAGAACCACATGTACAAGAATTTATCAACACAATCTGTTAATTGATTAGAAGACCAAAATGTTTCATGCGAGACATTTCTGTTTACCCTGCAGGACACTGACAGGCCATTGTAGTAGATATAAGAAGTATATAATACAAAAAGAAAATAATTAATAAATGAATAAATATCATCAATTGCATTTGAAATTTGTTAAAATAACTGAGAAAAAAGAAAATCACACTTTTAAGCAAATAATTTTAAAAATAAACTGTGTTTCGGTGGGACTTTAACACAGCATATTACATTAAATTTCACATTACATACAAATATCATACAGATATATCCTAATAAAATGGCAATGATTCAATTGTGTATTAGATAATCTGTGGTCATGTTGTTGCAGCATATAATTGAATTATGAAGCAGTGTTCTGTAAACGTCACGAATTGTCAGGAAGGTGGATGATTAATATATATAGGTGGAGTACTGTCAATTTAAGCTGGTAAATAGTTACAATCATTATAAATCAACCAATGCCATTTTTTTTTATTTCAGTGCTTATAAGTTCCATCTGTATGCATGCCATGATTCATCTGTTATTGCACTTCTATATGCGTTTGATATATTCGACAACCAATGGCCACCGTTTGCTGCAGATCTGAGATTTGAAGTGTACAGGAACAGTAATAGGGAACATTTTGTGAAGATATCTTATGTTGGAAAAGTAAGTATTATCATGAAGGTATCCACCATGTACCATTCTATGTTTTTCCATATGTCTTATTCCACTTGATAGCTTAGTATCAAAAATGTCAACTATAGCAACTGACGAGGCATGTCATGGAGGACTGTGCCAAGATCCATTATACAAATATGAATATAAAAGTCAAGTAAAGATTGCAGAAAGATCTAGACCACCATTCACATCAAAATGTTCTTTATTGTAGAATATGACAGCACTTGCGAAAGCAATTATAAACATGTTAATTAATTGTAAATTGAGACACAATAGCACTAAGTTCATGACAATATTCTAAAAATAAAAAGTAAATCTTGCAGTAACCCAACAAATACATGTATGAATATTCAATATGGCACACTTTCAAAATCAATGGATAACCTTTGGTAACTCGAAAGAATGAATTGAAGAACGAGAAGTGAACAGATAATGAACAAAATAATGCATCAGGCTTCAAAATTGAGGGTAAAGTATATCATCCTCAACTGCTGAAATGTTAGATTTTTTTTAGTTTATCTCATTAAAGGAATCATATCATTTCGCAGAATAATTATGCAACTTCACCTTGATGGAGTCTGTCTGTCTTTAAGTATTCACCTCCGGTTTGCACTTTGGCATGATTATGTACAGTTGTTCTCATCCTGAATGAGTTTTGAACCAAAGTGTACAACAGTCATTCTGGTCTGTTAATTCGTTATCCAGTCTTTCAAATGAAAATCTATCACTAGTTTGTAGGTTTTCCCATTCAGGGCTCAATACCCTCTACTGGACAATCATAACCACATTGACACTGATACCGCAAAAGCACAATGAACTGCCTTGTGGGTTTTATATTGACACAAAGCGAGCACAACTCAATGCAAGTTTACATGCAAACCTGCTTTTTGTTCCAAACAAATCACGACCTGGGACCATAGCTAGACTCGTCACATTTAAATCTGTCAATTGACCTAAAATCAGTCAAGACCCACCACTCGATCAGACAAACAAAACCAAAAATGGTTGCTCTGGTGCAAAGGATGCTTAGGAGCATATACCCATGCGTCTAGACAGCCAGCCTCTGTTGAGGTTTGTAGTAGAGCATATACCAATTTAGAATAATCTGGTGTTCACAAGGACATGTAAGGCAGTGATAGTCCAACTCCATGCCAGAGGAATCTTTGTTTACCTGTATATAGACGACTGGTTTCTTTATCACTTACCCGGGAGTTACTGGTCAATCACCTAAAGTACACTTTCACCCATGGGGGTCATGAATGTAGTTGCTCTGATATCTCACACTAAACTGCACACCAAAACACTCCATCACCTAGAGACCCTCAGGAAATACTGACAATCCAAAGATCTTTCAGTCTCACTTACATACATTGCTACCTCATCTTACATATCTCTTCTGAGCAGAAAAAATACCAAATAGACCAAATATACCAGCTTCCATTATGCATATTCTCAATTGCTACAAAAGAGAAGGGACAGTGGACCATGTGAACTCCGTGAAAGTTCTATGTTGCTTGAATGTGCATCACTGTACCATGTATTTCCATCTCTGTGCAAGCTGCTCTGGAATGCCAGTCAAAGTGCTAGTGAAAACAGTTAAACAATCGTTTTCACTAGTCCAACGGTGAAAAATGCCTGGATGTTTACTCCTGAAAATAGGAATTTCTTACTCCAGTATGCTTGTCAAAATAAAGTTGGACAGATATATTGTGCTAGTAATTGGTTGTCAGCATCTTTTATTTTATGGTTTTTTTTCATATTATCTCAAACCCTGCAAATGGAAGTGTGCATGGAATCATGGGAAGAAACGGTGTGCATCGCCAGGTGATAACTGTCATAAAGGTGATTGACAGGTCATACTTGTTTTCAACTCTGGAAGAACAATTGGAATCTACCAGGTGTGCTGTTATTTGAATAACAAAGGATGTTTATGATCTACTGAGTTGCCTACATAACACAGCTGCTAGCAAGATCACATTCTGATTGGCTCATGTGGAAACCCAGGTGGTGACACTGAATCATGCCTATACATTGGACAGATTCAGGAGTCCATCATTTCAACTTGGTATCTAGTGTATGCTGCTACGATATTGTGTAACAAGTGATACAGGCTAAAACCATCATTTTGTGAGACTTGTATGAACTGCTCTGAGATCTTCTGCTTTCAGCAGTGCCCTCCAGAATACCAGCGTTCCTCTGCAAGCGAGACTCCTGTATTCATTGTTGTGTTGCAGAAGCCATTGACTGTCGTCCATTATTACATCCTGGAACTGTGAGTTATCACCAATGCACACTTCCCTAAGCAATTCCCTATTTTAGTGGCTTTATTCATTGTATTTTTCTGTGCTTTATTTCTTGTAATTATTTTGAGAGGTATTAAAGCCAGGAGCTTTAAACTCGATATTTTGGTGTATTTGTATTTCATTTCCAATAATATTGTCTTGTCTACTCCATACTAGCAGTGAAAGAACCCCCTGTCCAGTGTGAGTTCTGTTGGTGGCCCTCTCATGAGCGATAAGCAGGCCTTACACTGTGACATTGGTAATGGCACCATAAATGATAAAAATGCTTCCAACTAGTCCATTTGTTCATTGGTCACTAACAATTACTTTAACACTACCTGCTCACTTCCAGAGACACCACTCACATTGCCAGGTTTAGGGCTAGTTACTTTTAGTGAATTCCCAAACAGAATTTGAATAGGATTTACCTAGCAAGCACAACGATGTAATGTATCATAAGACTTAAACTAGATCTTGGTATGGACTGATTCACTGGTGGATTAAACCCATCTCTTCTTCAAATATCTAACATCAGATCAAGTTATTAATAGTGGTTTGCTGCCAGCAGTCTTTATAAATTCTATTTCATCAAGCTATCACAGTGAGACTACATTCTATTTTTTAAGATAGCTGTTCTCTGTCAGAGCAAAACGGGATAGAATGCTATGCATGCAGTTAGCAGAATAAAGAATGAGAAATTGAACAATCGATTTCTATTTTAAACATTTATTGTGAAAAATCAAATATCAGCAATGCGTTAATAATTTTCATTCCATAAAAAATTCTGGTAAAAAAATAATTAACTGGTCAAGCATTTTTAATATGTACACACCAAATAACAATCACAATATTTATAAATTGAATCGGTGTATATAGCGTGTTCTAATTCAACTTGTCAATTTCTGAAAACCAGATCATAAGACCAGATCTAAACTTAGATTCAAGCATTTGAAAACCAACTGTTTTTTGAAAACAGTCATGGTATACTTTACTTCAAATGCCAAATTAGAAATGTAAAACTTTCTACATGGTTTGAATACATTTTTTAATGATTTATCTATCTGTATACATTGTCGTAAAATATAAATTTTCCTGAAAATCAGACTGACTTAGCAGTTTTAGAAAAGACAAGTTAAATCAGAATATAAATTGTAGATTTATGCATGGCATTAGTCTGACACATTTCTAGAAAAATACAAGCACATGTACACACATGTAAGTTAACAACGCAGACAACATCTTACCACCTATAAATTTGCTTTTTATTTCAGAAAAAGCTAAAAATAATAATATACCTTCCCATTAAAATCTGCCCTCTAGTAACAATTCACACCTGTGATGCAGATGGGTAAAAGGGTGTGATAAATATAGTCTACCATCAATACAAACTACAAGAAAACTGTGGTAAAATATGCCTACACTAGTATTCAGCAGCTTGAAAACACACACACACATGCCTCCCTTCTATTACAAACAACCAAATCAATCTACTTGTAGGAGCAGATGATTAGTGCCCTCGTTCTAAAACAAGTACTGATTGGTTATTTGATTTCATGTTTGCTCATGGATAAGCAAATCATAACTCCCAAACACAGGCTTGTGTGGAGTGTAGCAGGCAAAATACTATGGTGTGCAAAAATGGTTTTCCGCTTCTACATCACAGAAATACTTTGTCGCTAGAGATGATTTATAAAGAAACTGAATTGTATTTTTTTTTTTTTTGCTTTGGTGGATGCGTCTATCTACATAAACAAATTTGGATACCAAATCATAATTATTACACTAGCATTACTATATTTATATCAGCTAAGTTCAACATCATATGCTGATAATTGGACTGCACTATTTTTTGTTCAAACTTCCATCATTATTATCTCAAAGGCCCAACTGTTGATATAACTAAAAGTCATCCTGTCAAAGTTCAGTAAAATGATCAATTTTATTGTTTAATAAGTGATTCGGATATATTCTTGTCCTACTGAGAATATGCCACATGATCAAAAACACAAGTTAAAAATCTAAACAGATTTTTCTAGGCAGCTGCCGAATAAAGTCTTTGATAGTGTTATTTTCAATTATAAAGTTGTATGCAATCTTTACATTAAACCAAACTTCACCAACACTACAAAGATCCAAGGGTACACTTTTTATTGGCCTAGGAATGTACAAGGAGCTCAAAGGAAAGGCAACATGGAGACGATATTGGTACCTTGAGATTCAATAACTTGTGGTTAACAAATGGTGTACAGCCATGCACTCTCACAAATGGAGGACAATCTAGACAGTATTATTGATAAAAATCACTGTTGGCAGTCAAAACATAACAGTGGATGTGAGAAATAACCACTACAGATAAGGAATGCACTGGTGTTAGCCGTATAAATTCTTCCAAGTACATCACATTCTCACCACTCATAAACGAGACTAAATTTGTTCTCACCAACAACTGTAAGAATGAGAACGTATCTTCACCAACTATTTTCAGCATAATTCTTGCATTCATTATCTGTAGTGAATTTGCAGCATTTATAGTACACTATGAAAGCAATTTACAAGGTGCGAGTGAAAAAACACATTAGATGACACACACAATTTTACTCCATACGCTCTAGGTCATTGTACTGTTAACATTTTTTGCCAACCAGCATGTGAACATCACATATTAATCAGCAATATATCATGATATGCTATGTCCTCAAGTGGTTTTACTAACAGTGACATATGCAGGTATAACAGCAGCAGCAAACAACAGCATTATTTTATCATTGGTCGCGAATGGCCAGTCTTGTCAACTATAGGCATTACACTGTATCACCTAATGTATCAACATGAATGACCACAAGTTACTGTGCATTCTGATACAAAATGTTTAATATGGTGTGTAATGAACAGTGGTGACATATACATAGATTCAAAATAAATATAATTATTGGATGTGCATATGAAGGCAAGAAAGGCACAGTACTCATGTTCCAGAAGCCATATTATTAAAATATCATGCAACAAAACCACCTCAATAAATAAAATTCAAACTCTAAAACAACACACACAGACATTTATTCCAGGCATAAAAAGTTTAACCTTGGTTGATCTGCATAGAGCTTGTCTTGTTCCAAAGCAGCATTTTGTATAATATGGTTACACGATCATACAGAAATTCCTCTTTTTGTTTAGTATAAATATAAATTAAATCAAATGTAAACCTTGAGACAAATTACACACAAGGTTACCGGTATATATAACTTATAAAAAGTGAGTAAGAAAGGCAAAACAAGGCCAGTGTTTACCCTTGATTAGACTGATCAACAAAGATACCCTGTTTGAATCCATTTTATACTACACGTATGAAGCAAGACCTGTTCTCGCTACTCTACATGTACCGGGTATGTGTTTTACTGCATGCACTCATTTGTTTTTAAATCGGTTCAGCCTCAAAGGCAGGTGGCAGTCATTGTACAATACGTCTCCAATATGGAGCCCATATTGTAGAGCCAAAACGGTATGTGACAGGCAGCACCATTTAATTTGAGATGCCATGGACAGTATCTTCTATGGGAATCTAAATCAGGGACACTACATGCAAGACTGAAAGACACTCGGTTAGGATAGAATAATGGTAAAATCTGTAAAAATCAACTTTACACAATAAAAAATGTACATGACAATTGAGAATATGTCACAACTTAGACTGGGAATATTTACTCTGAGACCAGTCTTGTTTATCAACACAAGTTATGCAAGACAGTTTATAATTTTGATTGTAACTGGCTTGACACAAACTCTCATCCATTCATGGTGTTCTTTTGAATAAAGACATGACAGTAGATTTCAATGTAGTTTGATGCATACATTTTGTAACTGTACGTTTTTTTAAGAGTATATGGTGATGACTTCTTTACCAGTACCACGGACGAGCAGTACTTTGTCTAATCCTTCAGTCAAAGCTTCAAGATATTCAATATCTGTTTAGCCACAATTAAAGAAAATGTATGGTTATTAAATGGCAATACATGATTGGAATCTTTTTAAAATCACATGATTGGTTTAAATGTTTACATATGTATACAGCATTTATTTCAAAACTCAACATTTCATTATATTTTGTTACTAGTAAGAGAACTGAACTAATATATGCAAAAAAGGATACAATTGTGAACAGCTGTTTTATTTTTAGGAGGTCCTGGGAGATTCATGATGACAACTTGAGCTTCTGATGATTTCTCAGTAATAACTTGATTGAGTTTGACAGCTGTATGCATCTTCCTAGCAGCATGCATTACATGGGCATCACTTATAAAAAAAAAAAAAAATTTAATATTATTTGTAATTTTATCATTTATTTGTTGCTGTTCTGTAGGTCCACATATGCGTGATAATGACACAGTCTTGTTATTTTCATAAATTAAATACTACCAGTATTCATCAGGACAGTCAATAGTGAATGCTTGGTGATATAGTGTTAAAACTGTATACCAATGGCACACCAAAGTACCAATCTGCCTTATAAGGTACATGTACTATGAAGGACATTTCATGAAATCAAAAATTGATGAGAAAACATGTCTCAACAGCGTCTTTTCTTAAAAATATTGGTATTTTATCGTTGTGTCAAACAGATTGGAAGAACACACAGCAGCCGTTTTCAAAAGTGAGATCTATGATATTTCTGGAACTATAAATTAAATAAAGAGTGACAAACAATAAATAATTTCTTTTACAAAACAAATTATTGGTGGTACATGTACTGTATTTTACCTACACACCCCTCATCCAAAATTTCTCCATGGGCAATGTTTTGGCAAGTTGGTAATCTTGTGGTTGCAAAAAAATGCTGTTGATTGATTTTTGAGTCACAGAAAATATGTAGTGTCCATCAACTATATATATCAAAATTTCAGAAATGCACCACAAGTTTTCTAATTTAGGAATCATTTAGAATATTTCAATTTTTCCCGGTGCCTAAATTATAGTCAAATTTAAGTTCTTTATAGTCACTGAAGCAAATTTAGGA